CTCCAAAACCTAGTTTTTTGGTAGGAAAGCCAACGTGATGAAAATCACAATGAAAGCCATATTGTTGTGTTAGAACAACCCCGTGTCATGACTGATGTTTCTTGTCTTTTTGTTTTCTGTCCATGTGCTGCTACTACTACTACTACTGATATTATATCATAGCACTTAAAACATTCACACTGTCTGTTTGTCAGTGTACTCCATCTGTTTGAACTGATGAATGCTTGAACTTGACATACTGTAATATGTGTTATTAATGACGTTCATTTGAATCTGCTGTTGTTTTACTTGCACTTTTTCTACATCATTACATTGTATTTGTTTATCGTGTAAATAACCGACATATTTTGCTGACCTTACTCACATGAAACACAGTAACATATTGACTGTCTCTTAATGTAACCAAATAGCCAGAAACAAACCCCTGCAGGCAGGGACAGTTATGACCCGTTAAATCTGATTCTATTTCACTTGATTGACAACTAAAGGACTGTATTTGCAAAATGATAATAGTGCTTGTAATGAAAGTGTAGCTCAGTTTCCCTTTAAAACCATATATGATAACTGTGATCACTCCTGTGAGAAGTGTCGGTTGTATTAACTTTGATCTGTGTGTCCCTCTCCTTCCCTCTCTGTCCCTCTCTCTCTTCCTGTGTGTGTCAGTGGAGAATGGGGAACACTGCGATTTCACTGTGCTGCGCAACATGCTGATCAGGTGAGACACAACAGTTTAGTCAACATTCATTCTCTACACATGATCTCATGATGCATCTTCATTCGTATTCTTTTTTTTTTTTTTTAGTTTTAGGTATTCTTGCCCAACCTTATAGAGAGAGGCCACTAAAAAAAATCTTATGGTCCCTTAGGCTGCATTTCATGAGATGCTAATGTAGCAAGTTTCATATATATATAAGTTCATTTGTAGTGATAACTGACATCCATCAAATGTATACATCTATTTTTTTACCTTTTTGTTTGGATCCCATAAGCCATTACAGAGGTAGCAGCTTCCCATCCAGGGATCCACACGTCCAAATCTACATTAAACTGAAGTAAAATGGCTAACACCCTCTAACATCTAGTACTGTATGTGGACTGAGAAAGTGTGGGAAATGTACCACATGGGACACAAATAACACACACAAATCCCCGCCCTGAACCCCCCCCCCCCTTATTTGTATATTCTTGCTTTATCCCAAGTACTTTTTTTTTTTTTTTTTTTAAGATATTATTTTGGGGCTTTTTAAGCCTTTTTATTGGATAGGACAGCTGAAGAGAGACAGGAAATGTTGGGAGGAGAGTGAAGGGGACGACATGCAGCAAAGGGTGGAGGTCAGATTCAAACGCATGGTCGCTGCAATGTCTCTGTACAGTACATGGGACGCATGGCATTTTTATTTTTATTTTAACATACTTTATTAATCCTTAGGGGAAATTCTGGTTTACACTCTGTTATTTTAAAAGCATGCTTCTCACACACATAGGCCCCAAATACACACGTGCACAAACAGGACCTGTGGACTTGCATTAGTGAAGAGATGTCAGAGTGAGGCTGCGACACACTGCTATGCAGGGAGCGCGCCTCAGCTGTTGGGGGTTCAGTGCCTTGCTCAATGGCATCTCAGCAGTATTCAGAAAGTGACCTGTCACCTCTCCAGCTACCAGACCGACTCCCATATTTTTGATCCGCACAGGGATGTGAACCGGACTTCATCCTCTGGTCCCTACAGACTGAGCTACAGCCATCCTCCATGACCACTACGCTATCTGGTGCCCCTATCCCGAGTTCTTTACGATAGAGTTAATTTATACTATATATATATATATATATATATATGTGTGTGTGTATATATGTATGTATATGTATTATTTTTATGTTATTTATCTTTGCCAACATATACACACAGCTGTAAACGAACAAAAAAAAACTGAACAAAAATCAGTAAGAATCCCAGGAAGTTAAACAAAATGTCATTAGTTAATCCTGGAATGGTGATGGCACAGCCCTTCATATATCATTTCCCCTTAACATAACAGGAACTAACCTTACATCAGCTCAAATGTAAAAGTCAGGATTTTAATTAGAAATGTCATGTTTATTAAGATTAAGACTTACTTTATTGATCCCACAAGGGGAAATACTGTTTTTACACTCTAAGTCATGCAACACACACATGCACAAACATGATCCTATGGACATGCACTAATGGAGAGATGTCAGAGTGATGGAGCTGCCCGCAGCGGGCGTTCCTGAGCTGATGGTGGGGAGGGGGTTTGGTGTCTTGCTCAAGGGCACCTCGGCAGTGCTCAGGAAGTGATCTGGCACCTCTCCAGCTATCAGACCAACTTCCATATTTGGTCCGCACCGGGACTTGAACCGGCGACCCTCCCTCAAGTCCCTGAAGTTCAATAGCTCAAATAATAGGCTGAATGTATGTTTCTGCTTCTCTCGATGATATTGCACTCTTCTTCTTTCTAGCTTACTTTATTTGTTTATCTTTTTTTCACCTCCCATAGGACTCATATGCAGGACCTGAAAGACGTCACCAATAATGTACACTACGAGAACTATCGCAGTAAAAAACTGGCTGCCGTCACCTGTAACGGAGTGGACACAACAAAGACCAAGGGACAGCTCACAAAGTAAGACTTCAAAATAAAAAGACCATGGAGTTATGTTGTGTCTTGCAGCTTGCTGCCACAACATGTCCTTTTCTTTATACCTGGCAACCTTAAGCTTGAATGAAAAGTTAATGATATTCTTACAGCACATCCGGTTTCTATTTCCATTGAATTCTTAAAGGTAACATTAGAAATGACAGTTACGATTATCCTGATCCTTTGCTGTGGTCAACAGGAGTCCCCTGGCACAGATGGAGGAGGAGCGTGGGGATCATGTCACAAAGATGAAGAAGATGGAGGCTGAAATGGAGCAAGTCTTTGAAATGAAGGTGAAGGAGAAGAAGCAGAAACTGAAGGACTCGGAGGCTGAGGTGGGTTCATTCATTGTCTTTGTGTCATAAATACAATTAGATTATGACTGGGCAAAAAATAGAGATGCTATTAAGATCACAAATATACAATGAAGGTGAATGAAGAGCTGTTGTTTTTGTTATTTTGTGACAGAGGGAGGAAAATAAAGCAAGTCCTGACTTTTTAAAAAACTCTCAATTTCATCAGTGTGATACACAAAAAGGAACATTTAAGATAAGAGGGGGGAATGTGTGCTCATACAAGTTGCCTGTCTTTGTTTGATTGAGTATTAATCTACGGATTTGTGACCCTCAGCTGGAAAGACGCCACGAAATGATGAAAAGAAACCTGGAGGCACAGTACAAAGAGCTAGAGGAGAAGAGGCGAGTTTACGAGGACGAGAAGGCCAACTGGGAGGCTCAGCAGAGAATCCTCGAGCAGCAGAAACTCGATGCCTCCAAGTCAGTACCACTTCAAACAGCTGACTGTTTAACTGATCTTTTGCTGATTAGTTTAGTCTGCAGTCTGTTAATTACAGGCGGAGTGATGCAGTTACAGGAAAATAGTATATTCTAAAATAGCACCTTACTACATCTGGTTCATCACATGATGCACATTAGCCTTAAAAGACCTTTCCTCTTCTATTTGCATTGAAAGAGATGTCTGTTTATCTGTGGATACTTTATTAAATGGTACATCAGCATCCCACTTCCAAAAGTACAATCTGACATATTTTGCAACAAAATGTCTTCATGTTGTACAAAAAAGAGCTGACTCCAGAGTTATTGTCCTCGGCATGGTGCATCTGTATCGGGACACACCTGTACTGTCGGCACATCAAATATTACCTGTATGGAAATGCATATATTGTGTACATACTGGAGGCTACTTGGTGGCCTTTTTTTCTCGTTTTTTTTTTTTCTGAGCCAAAGTTTGAAAAGCAGATAGTTTTAAAAGAGATATTAGTGTAATTAATCAAGGCCTATAACCAGACAACTTCCTCCAACCCCATTGACTTCAAATGCCACTGAGCAGCTTTGAACCAAGCGACAACCTCCAGTCTTGAAAAATGAAGCCAATGCAGAAGTTCAAAATCCTGCAGTTTGTCGAGTGTCCGCTTGAGGCTGACTCCAGGAACACCGGAAGTCACGTACACATGACTGGCAAAAAAAAGCCGTTTTCACAGCCGAAATTAACATGTTTACAGCCTGGTACAAAAAAAAAGAAATAGGTCTGATTAGTTATTGTCATCAAGGGCAAACAGTGTACGGGGGTGAATTTCTTTTAAACGGCTCCGTTTTGATTTTGAACGATACGTGTTATCCATTGTTAGGCGCGTAGCTGACATGATTGACAGGTTTTGTTATGCAACGGTTTGTCGTTGGGTTTAAAACCGTCCTCAGATTTGGCTCTCAGCATCGTTAGGTTGACTGAAAGTTAGGCTGAGACAGGATTTCCAGTAAGAGACGGCTGACGTCACTCAGGCTTCATCCATTAATATTTACAGTCTATGCTTTGAAGAGAAATGAAAGGGACCTCATGTTTAACCCTGCATCCAGTTCCTGCTTAACATCCAAATATGGGTAATACAATGACACTATTTGATAGAACCCTCAAAGTCAGTGCACTAATTAAGCTGAATAAAGCCAGATCCAGAGCTTTATGTATTAAACGTTTAAAATAAAGTCAGTATATACCATCATAAGCTACTGACTACACCAGACAAGGCAGCAACAGCACCCTTGGGTGTACAAAATGAAGGTGTTTAAAGTGTATAGTTGTCGAGGGTCTTGGCAGAAATCTCAGAAACACGAGAAACTGAATTATCAGTGTAACAACTGAGGACATTGGGATTTTGGAGTATACTTCTGAGTGCCTTTGTTTGCATTTTGGTTGTACAAAGATATTTAAGTAATGGTTTCCCTCTTACTGTCTCTCACACAGGACGATGGAGAAGAACAAGAAGAAAGGAAAAATCTTTTGAAGAGGAACAGAAGACGTTTTACATCAGCTCGATTTTTCTTCATCCCCTCTGAAGTTCACATGTACTGTGGCCCTCCTAACATACACCCGCATCAGCACACACGACTCTGAGATACATTCAACACGCACCACGTATGACATGGACATCATTACAAACACACAGATACAAACATGCGAAGGCCCACATGCACATCTCTCTACATCTGTTGAAACCTTTTCTTTCCATGGGGAATGCATGTTTTTGTGAAATTCTATTTTCCTATATTTCCTGACAAAGAGGAGAAGCTCGAGTTCCTCTGAGCTACAGTATGGCAGGGACCGTGAAAAGCCATTTGTACACATGTAGTAGTAATTGTATGTTCTCTACATAGTCAATAGATCTGCAGCTAGACGTACTATCCCTCTCCTCGACGCTCTTTTTTTTTTCGTTCTTTAACTGTTTTACAGAAATGTAACACAAGTGTACACACATTAAACACTCGGTCATTCAGACGTCACTGAGAGTGCAAGAAGAGAATGGTGAGCGTATGTGAGTAAAGAGAATTGAATCGTGTAACAGTTGAGGAGGCAGAATTCAGAAGCAAAGCCCCCCCCCCCCCCTCACTCTTAACAAATGGCACATTGAACTAATCTTATAAATGCTTTGTGATGTGCAGCCAGCTAACTGCCGACATGCTAGCCAGACGGGATCATGCGAGCTATGTAAAGTCAGAGTAGCTTTTCTAACTGCACTTCTTTCTCTGGATTGCAAACACATACTTGATATTTGGTCAGTAATAAGTTTGCTAATGGAACAATATTTCTACCCGGCAAACGCCTTAAATACGATTAAAAGTTGAGTGTCATAACTCCTAAAGAGTTCTGACACTACAACAGAGGAGAACAAAGCAGACTAGCTACAAAAAAAAAAAAGCTTCCTCTGATTTTGACTTGTGTTCCCTGAATGGCCAGTGTCCTTAAGATGGCTTGCTCTTACGCAGAATTGTGTGCTTCAAAGCTAAACATAAATAAAATGAAAGGCTCCTGCAAGAATAAAAAAAATCCATGTAATAAAATCTGCCATTTGAAGTGATGGTGTGACCGGGCTTTAGATAAGATAGTGCCCCAGTGCAGTGGCAGGTGTGGGTTGTAAATGTAAGAGCAGGTGTTGTTTTATACATGCTGTGTTTGAGGTGAAGATACTGTGTGATCAGAAACAGACAGGATTATGGAAAGATAGAACTCTTAAGTGTTGTCACAGCAGCCAGAATTTAACCACTGCAGTGTGTTCCCTATTTGAATATATGACGATATGCAAAAGTGTCTTTGGTGTGTGCAACTTGCAGGTATCAGTGATTTACAGAGATGTTTTTTTTTTTTATTGTGATGTAAGTGATGGATGTTGTCATCGATCTGAACCTTGATGTCCAGCTTCCTGTGAGAATATCCCAGCCAGAGGGGATTAATTATCAAAAAGCTGAAATGCTCCTTTAACCCTCTGTTCCTGCCAGAAAAGACAACTGTTGGGAAAAGTTTGCCAATTCAGCCATAGCTTTGACTCGGACTTCACTTTAGACATAAATGCTTCCACACAGAACAACATAACACCCCTCTGCTCTTCTCAGAATATGTGAAGTCCAGAGTCAGAGAGCTGTGACGTGTTCTAACCTTTACTATACATTTCCCAGAGATGTATGTTTTATTTTCATATGATTATAATGATATAAACACTACTTTGTGTATGGTTAAAGAATGACTCCTTATATCCTGTGTAGTTTTCCTAAAGAACTCCTAGATTAATCTGTTATTTTGGTATAGCTTTTTAGGTGGCCTGCATTTGAAGCAAAATCTTAAAGGGACACACCTGTACTGTCAGCACATCAAATATTACCTGTATGGAAATGCATATATTGTGTACATACTGGAGGCTACTTGGTGGCCTTTTTTTCTCGTTTTGTTTATTCTCTTTTTGCTCCGATTATATGCCAGGAAAAAGAGAACCTGTTTTGTAAAACATGTCTTAAGAATCTACGGATACATTTCCACTGATTGATACACACGCATATAAAACCCTACATCTATGCCGATGAGTACAACTTCTCAGGACCGCTCAGTTGTGCGATATTTAATCTTTGGGTCCAAAGGGAAGTATTGGTCCTACAATAAATTTTAAAAAAAGCAGTGACTGATTTTTTTTCTTTTAAACTATTGTGAACCATTCACCCTCGAATAACACACACATAGACAGCAGTTTGGGTGATTTTTTTTTTTTTTTTGTAATAGTTTCTTTTTATATGTACACTGTTTTCTGCTTCTTTTCTTTGTTTTATTATATGTTCTATCTCTAACTGTACATGGTTAATATTAAAGTTGACAAGGTTATGCTATAACTCCCAGTGTGTGTGAGAACTCTTTTTAACCATAGATTATATATACAAAGAGGATGTAGCCATAGTCATTCATATTAGTTTAGTGACTACTGTTTCGGTAATCTAATTCGGTAGATCTGGAGAGGTGTAAGGTATTGACAAAGTTAAACACTTAAGATATACCTTCCATCCATGCCTAAAGCTTTTTTTTGTAAATTGGCTATTTACTAAAAAAATGAGCTGAAATGAGCTATGTAACAACATGGTCTTCTTGAACTACAGCCTCTGTGAGTAAAAAGCAACAACTCATAATCCTGACTCCCATGAACAGGCTGACATAAATTAAAATTGTGTGATAAACACTGCCTGCTTATTTAATAATGCTAACATAACATATTTGTAGAATTAATTTACTTTTACACATAAATTCAGTGGTATGAGTGAAAATAAAAAGCGTCAAAGGCTATATAAATGAGCACACCTCATTTTTAGACAATGTTAATGAAAACCTTGGTAAGGAGTTTTTTTTATGTAGGGTTTTTCTTTATCACAGTATGGTGTTAATCTGAGTCTTTAAATACTTCCTTCTCCACTGACAGATACTGTAATGGACAAATCGTTCATGGATAATCTAAATAAAGTTAAATTTGGTCAAATTATATTCAAGGATACTAATGGCGTGATGTAATGGAATTTGATTGCGTGTTTACTTTGTGTAGTACGGTAAACGGCCTCTCTCTGAGCCGCACAGTAAACAGACCTGGGATCAGATTTGGAGTTCCTCCGCCTGCTGCATGAAAACGAGCTGCTGTATTCGCTCTGACTCCAGACCAGCGGGAAACTACAGGACCGACGTCAGAAGACCCGCTGAAATTTAAAGTTGGAGGAGGAGACTGAAAACATAAAACAACAAGGAGGTTCTTGTTTTCTGTCAGTTTCAAATAGACTTTGGTTTCCTGCAGACATCGTTTTCAGGTAAGGCAACAAACGACCCGCTTAAACTTACACAATATTGCTGGCTAATGCTAAATGTTTGTCCGACTAAAGTTAGCTCGCGTATGCTACCTTAACGTTATCCTGGTCGATAAGTTAGCATGAAGGTAGCTAATCAAAGTGCAATGTTAACCGAACTACTGTAGCTCCTGTAGTTGTCAATGCTCGGCGAATAGTTATCTTGATTCAACTATCATTGCTATAACTGTGTTGACCGTGTCAGTAATCTAATGCGATGCATGTTGTGGACGAGCTTTTAGACAATGATTGTGACAACGCCCAGAGGTTATTAATTCAGGACAAATCTCAAGTGTTTTAACCAAACCAAGTGTTCAACAGCGAGCTATATTTATACATTTTAGCCAAATATAACTTAACTTAACTATATTAACCAAGCCCCATTTAATGATGTTATTAAGTCCAGTAAGACTTGACTAGGACAGGTAGACTTTGTAGAGTTTAGTGGATTGACTCTGGTTTATTGAACAGCTGTGTTGAGGAACATGTTCTTGTTAGTAAAGTATACATCCAGTGTGTAAATGTTTGTGTTTCCAGCTCATTATGGAAGCTGCCAAGGAGAAAAGTGGCAACACCAACCTGAAGCGACAAAGAACACCTCTGTCAGATTCAGAAGACAATGTCTTCACATCATCAGGTTGGTTTCTGTCTGTGTTTAATGCACATCTCTCTAAATACACCTCCTCAGCATGAACACAGCACAGTTTTCACAGTTTGCATCTTCCTCTCCGATATCTCAGAGGAGAGCGATGGCCAGAAGCGGCGGCGTCTGGAGGCAGCTGGTCAGGAAAACCGTAGTCCTAAACATTCCTCCTCTGGACGTCTACTGGAGCTGGAGACGAAGCCGGACACACCAATGGTTCCTTCAGTCCGTTCCCGAGTCCATCTACTTACACAGAGACAAGAAGGTAATCTGAGGTTTTCTAACCTCAGATATCTTGCCCCGACCAATTTTATCAGTGAAGGCAGTTTAAATATTATATCAGCGAAACAATGAGAATTCAAAAGATTACTGTTTCACCCTGCAGCCTCCAAAGTCGCTGTAAAATTTTGTTCCTATAACTGTCTGTACCACATCAGTCAGTTGATTTAGATCGTATTTCTTGAACCTAAGTAGACCTAGAACTGGTTACTGAGTTACTTTTTCAGGGGATATGGTTCTTCTCATGATGGTGACATGCATACTGGACAAAGTCAACAGTCAGTCTGGTTTGTCTGCATTTACAAAGGTTGAGCAATACGTGTCGTGTTTTTGTCTGTTGAATATTCTAGTTCTTAACAGCGAGAGTTTGCTTTTTTTCTTTTCTAGGGGTAGCTCCTCTGGCCCAGCGCTGCCTGTCTGATCCTGGCGCTTTCAGCCCGTCAGTCATGATCCAGGAAAAGGCCTTCAGAGAGCATCTGCTCGGTGAGGGTGCACATGAACACAAATTCAAAAAGCGACTTGTCACTGTTGAAGACAGCGGTACTTTCCTGATTCCAAACCTAAAAAAAACTATAGTAGATAGAAGGCAACACAATTAAATATCAATGGTCCTAAAACATGGACTAAACTGGTCTTTGGACTTCAGCTCAAGCCTAAAGGTGGCCTAAGGGCCAAGCCTCAGGATAAAATGTTGGATTCCAACTCAGTCAGTTCAAAGAGTTGTCGATTTGGTAGCAAAGTCCTCATCACAGAACCTAAGGTCAAATATGTGATGTTGATGGTCTGGAAAAAAAATCAATCTTAATTTTTGATAACTATGTAATTTTAAGATTGAAAGTTAAAGATAACATTTGAATTTATATTTTCTGATATATCAATGCTGTGCAAAGTATTAAGAGACAGAAACGATGATAGGAAAAAAACAAGCAGTTTAGTTACAATAAAAGAGAGAATGAGAGAACCACATTTTAGTTTATGATGCTTAGAGTTGATATAAACACGTTTTTATTTCTCAGTTTGAAGCATACAAAGTATTTACCAAAAGTAAACCTCAATAAGATTTCAATAGACACATATTTTCCGCCATGGCCAATTATCATCAGCATTGTGCAGCAGACACAAACTTTACAAACTAACCCTGCCACGAGGCCATGAACTAATTTCTCTAATTTTTTCTGTTATTTTCTACTTAATTTTAGAAATTCCTCTTTATAAATGTTTTCTCCTCAGATGAAGGAGAATTTACTCAGCGAATGGAGCGTTTTAAAGCACCACTCTTCCAGGCCAGCCCTGCCCCCACACCAAGCTCTGCCAACCCCTGCCCAAAGAGCTGCTCCAACTTTGTATCTGACATTCAGCAAAAACTCCAGGGAACCACAACTCCCAGCTCCAAACAGGCTGTCCGCATGCGCCAGGTTGGTTTAAATGCTGTGGTTTGAACCCAAAAGCCAAGTGATGTATATAAATAATCATTTGCACACAGATCTTTATGATATAGCCTCAATGATGTCTTTGTTTGTCTGATATTTTCTATCAGAATGATCTTTCTAAACATAGGCTACTAGCTGCTGTATTATCTGTAAATTTGATACATTTTAGAAGTGAGTTATTCCATTTACTTCGGATCTCAGCTCTGTGAATGACGTCACACCCGAGGTAACTGCGTTCCAGTTGCGATTTGGCAACCAGTCTGACAAGCAACATGAACACCTCCAGGAGTACCTTTTGTTTAGTTAGCTAATACCTAGCATAAAAACACACTGTGATAGTTTGAGCGTGAAAATAGCATGACATGTCCACAGATAGAACTTGCACGATACTCAGTGTGATTCATTTAATTAAACAAAAAGAGGAATTGGGAATTTCTGACTTCTGAGATAAAATGGAACGCACTATTATACATGTATGCTGCTGAATTGCATCTGAACAATTGAAGAGTTTTGGTTTGACCTCTGACACACGTTTCTCTGAACAGGAACGAGAGCTTGAGTTGAACCAGTTGCCTTTTCAACCAATCAGTGAGAATGCCTGGTTGAAAAGGAGCATCTCCGATCCTGCTTTAACTCAGGTGGGTTTGTCATCACGATGTAATGCTTATCAAACAGTCACACAGCACTCATTAGTGTCTTGTCATATTTAATTTTCTGTTGTTTTGATTAATCTTCTAATTGATGGATGAGCATGAAAATACTAAAAAAAAAAAAAAAAAACATTACAAAGTCCTGAAGCTCAAATAAACCGCAGAATTATCACTATTATTATTTTTTTAATCCAACGAACCACCATTTACACATCTATGACAGAATCATACTTTAAATTGTCTTTAGTGGCTGTAATTATTTGTATGGATTATTTGTTTGAGAATTTACACACCTGCCTGTGTAAACATTATCAGGGGAGGACCCCTACTACACCCACATATACCTCCTGCTGGGTTCCTGGGTCTGTAAGGGGAGTTCGCTGGCCTCCCATGAAACCCTGGGATGTGAGTCTATGACCACATAACTCTTGATTTTCTTGTTTTGACACATGGGTTGGTACATTGAGCCAAATGAATGGGCATTTTTGAAACTGTCAGTGATAAAAATTAAACATTAGTATGTTTCTAACTATATCCGTGTTCTGTTTTTATCTGACATAGAATCACCCCTTCATGTGGCTCTAGTTTAGAAATTAAGATACGTTCTTACACACTGCACCTATTCTTTTTTTGTTTGCTTTGGGGCTATGGACAGTTTGAATTAAATTAATCCTTCACTCCACACTTTGAGCACAAAAAAAAAAGAAAGTTCTCCTCCCAAATGTCTCTGGATTGGTTGCACAGTATATGGTCTTAATCCTGCTCATGAATAATTTCCTTTAAGTTTGTTTATTCACTTGCAGCTCAAACAAAGCTCTGCTGTGCTCTATAACGTCCTAATTATGTTTCCTATTGTTGACACTGTGGCCTCCAGCAGGCTTCTGGTGACGCTGAAAATGAAGATGGCAGCTTCACTGAAACGACAACATTAAGTGGCAACAAGCAGTCTTCAGTTGGAACAGGTAAATGTTATTCATATTAATAAACACATTTTATTTTGTCATTTAACGGGTCAAAACTCACTAAAACTCTGCACGCTGACTGAAGCAATAAAAGTAGGCGTGTCCCAAAATACTCTGCAAGGCTTGTAATGTGTCTTAATAGATATTTTTCCCATTCCTCAATCTCTATATTTTAAGGGATACTTCACCCATTTGCATTAAGCTTTGTATCATTAGAAACCTGGTAGTATTTTTGAATGGTCGTGCATCCCGCCCTCATTTTCCCCTGAGACGGGAATTTTTGTATTTCTTGTCTGCAAAAGGAGCCTCCCATGACGCAAAAATCGGCATTTTGCATCATCGGTGGTTAGCGGGGGTGAAACTACAGCGCTAGTTCCTCATATTTTTGACCACTGAAGCTACAGACCAATCACAGATCAGTGGGTGAGAACTCACTCCCAGAATCGAAACTTAACATCCGCCATATTGCTTGGAAGCTATGCTAACAGGCTCTATGGAGAAAGCTGATAATGGTGCTGACAATGCTGAATGCTGCTGACAGGCAGGTCTTCTGCTTCTGCAGCCGAGGAATAAGAACTGCCTGTCAGCGGCGGTGAGGACAAGGGGCCCGGGGCCGGCTCGAGTTGGGGCAGACTTGTAGTGTCGGTGCTCTCACTGTTTGCCTGTGGACACAGACATTAAGTCTGTTTTCTGCCAGAAATTTCCAAGATGCCAATTTCTTCTAGAAGAAATCTCTGAATCAGTTGAGGAAATGGCCGTATGTGTTGAAGTAAATATGTCTGTAAATGTTTTTATTACTATATTTCTACTGCGATGTATATTTTGGATAAACTGTAACGATTGAATTTCTGGGATTACTAAAGTATTTCTGATTCTGAAATAGAGAACCTTAGTGGGAGTGGCCTACAGTGCTGTGCATTCTGGGATTTGGTGTCTTTCATCCACATGAGCTAAAATGACACTTTCTGCCTTTTCTCGGCCAAGAAGGCACCAATTTCAAATTATATTTCACATTTCTGCTACATGTATGACCCAATGTCAGTACAGATTCATGTTTCAACGGGTGAAGTATCCCTTTAATGATGTTCTGGATATAACAACAAACCCTTAAACCCTTTGTTGTTCTAAAACAGTGATGCAATGATCTGGTTGGATTTGTTTTAGCTACTACGGGTCAGGCATGTGAACAAGTTATTCTTGACTGGTCTAAAAATGTCAATAATGAACATATAAGGATTCTATTAAATAAAGATACATGGTTTGAAGTTCAGGTAGCCTACTGTTAAGATGTGAGGAAACTTTTTCAACAGGTGAAAGGCCATGCTGGGACTCTGAAGCCCTAGCAGCATCTGGAGAGCCTGAAAACTCTAACCAACTGCTTAAAATTCAACAAAAAGACCAAAGTACTCATGAGGGGGAAGAAGTTGAGGAGGAGATAGACAAAGCTTCAGTTGGAGGTGAAGAGAAGTTAAGGCCTCCAACGTCACAGACCGTGTTGAAGCTGTCTTTTAGCGAGGATCAGGGTCTCTCCAACGCGCCTCTCTCTGAGGAGCAGAATGTGTCAGAGTTGCCTACAAGGGATGATCAGAGCTTTCGAGAATGTTCTTACTCAGAGGAATCAAACATGAAGGAAACAGGTGAAATATCCACAGAAAATGAAACAGGCAGGTCTGAGGCAAACTCCTTTGATTGTTCTTCACACAATGATGAGGTGATGGAGATTTCAACGGAAGAGGAGTTTAGTTCTTGGAGATATCCTCTAGACGGCAAAGAAGAAGAGTCCATCTTAGCTGAACAGGAGGGGGACTTGAAATCATCCAGAGTGCAGAAAGATAAAGGTGGCAGTGCTCCAGATCGCAGTGAGCACTCTGACACAGAGCATGGTGAATGTGATTCGAGTAAAGTTTCTGCTGAGATCGCTGATTCATCTGAAATGACTGAAATTGAGAACATTGAGGGAGACATACTGTGGTCAGAGAGCTGTTCAGATGACCAGTCTAAAGAGAGTGTAGAGTCCTGTAATGGCTTTTATGATGGAGTAGGCAAAGAAGATATTTTTACAATAGACAAGAGCGACACAGAAGCGAGTACTCATGAAGAAGATGTAAGTCAACAGTCAATGGAGATCCAGACAGTTAGCGTAAAGGAAGAGGACATGGATCTGGAGGCAGACAGGACGGACCTGGGTAGCAAAGTGAAACACACTCTGGCAGATACATGTCAGGCAGTTACAGTGAGAAAAAGAAATACTAAATATGTTTCAAAATTAGAGCTAGAGACTAAGATTGAATCATCTGACACGGATGGAAGTGATGGAGCTCACAGTTTGACCGAGGCCGAGGCGTCAGAAATCCTCTTGGAGACGGAGGAACTAGAACAAGCTGTAGTCGATGAGAAGCAGAGTGATCTAGAAGAAGCTCCAAAGGAAGAGGCAGGAGACGGCTCAAAGAAAGTCTCCTTTATCCTGAGCCTGAGCTTATAAATGACTCAACCTGGTGTGAGACTAATGCCTGTGTGGAGTCCAGGGTAGAGACGAGTCTGTCAGGTAAGAAAAGTAAGACTATTTAGTTGAGGGCACCTTTGGAGTCATGGAACACCTGGTGGAGTTTATGTTTTTTCTTAAAGGAAAATCACTTGTGGTGACCCACTGTGTTTATTTATTTACATATGGAGCCTCAAGCACATGGTTATCTAGTATTGCACAAGTGCACTTGATAATTTCTTAGTTGCTTTTTCATCCTCAGTTGTGTGAGACCTCATCATCAATCTACATCTCGTTTTGAAATAGTTTCCGTCATTTTTTTCAGGAAGTGAATGTCTGTGAATGTTTGTTTAACAGATGCTGAACTGAGCTCTCACGATGAGACCAACACGGCTGAAATAATCGACCAGATGTTTGAGGAAGTGCTGGAATATGCTGAAAGGGTAGAAAAGAGCGAGTGCATCATGAGGACACTGAGGGTCATGACAGTGGTATCGGAGCTTGCTCTGTAGAGAACATTAAGATGGACACAGAGTCCAAGAAGGATAAAAGTGAAGAAGAGGGGGAGGCCAAAAAGAAGACGAGTTGGATGACAGCAAGATGCTTGAAAAAGAGGGAGACGACATGCTGACTTCCCTCCCAGCTGCATCCTTTCTCCTCTCAGCAAGTCAGTAGAGGCAGTGGTCACCCCTCTGGTAAGAATCAATCTGAACTCTTTGCTGTTGATGCACAAGTTCCTTTAGTTTATTTATGTGAATTTAGTCCTGGTAGGAAAGCTAGTTCATGCATGCATGTTCAAAACCATTTTGTCCTTTTGATTGTTTTGAATTTTTCACCAACAGCGACTGACAGTGAGCGAGGAGTCCAACCCTCCATCTCTTCTCCTGACTCCAGAAGAGGCCTCCACCCCTCCTGCTGAATCTGCTCCTCTGTACAGGTAATCAGAGCAGCAACGTATGAAAACTGTCAGTCTGTGTTATTTCAACAACATTGAGTCTCAATGTTGTATGTAAAAACATTTTTACCATTGAAATATCTAACTAGAATGTGGAATGTTATGAGTATTTCCAAATGCTTTATATACCAAGAGTATTTGGAGAGTATTACATTTTTGGAGAGAAAAAGTGATTAGTCAATAAACCATTAAACTCCATAAAGGTTATCATGGATTTCAAGATGGAAAATATGTAAAAATCTGACATTTTTTTTTATCAGTTTTGCTATACCTAAAACAATATATATATATATATATATATCTATGCTGAATACAGAAACCTTAACACAATCTTTCTTTAAACTAAATAATTATACTTGTTCATGTAACAGTTTTCACATATAATTGCACACACAGGTATAATTGCTTCTTGTGATTTTATTTAATGGGATATATATATATATATATATATATATATGTATGTGTGTGTGTATATATATACGTCATTCCCCTGAAAAGGAATCTCTTCATAGCAAAAAATAATGAAACTTCTGGCTGTAGTAGTTTTTATTTTAAATGCATTCAAATGTATTCATGCAATTAATAATCTCTGTTGGTCAACCAAATGGTGATTGTTGTGGTTATATTTCAGACTATAATCTCCCTGTTTAGTCTGTCATGTGTCTGTAACATGATGATGGTTTGGTTTTTGACAGTATTGATGCCTACCGCACACAAAGACAGAGCAAGCCCTCCACCATTCAGAGTGTCACTCCAGGGGTTCAGGGACCAGCTCCAGAGAAGTCCCGACCTCAGCCCTCTGTCAGCAACAAGGAGAAAATCAAGGTGAGTGGAACTTTTAGAGATTCTATGGTCAGTATTCAGGTTGAAATCTTATAATGTATCCCCTCCTGCAAAATCCATCACCCTAGTGTACTGTCAACTGTACTGCTGAAAATATCCTCTTCTCGGTTTAATTAAATGTATGTGTGTGTGTGTTAGTGTTAACTACCTTTGTTTTTGTCCAGGCTCTAAATGAAGAAGCAGGAAAGCTTCAGACGGTGATCGGCCAGACTCTCCAGGCTCTGAGCTGCTGTACTGACGAGGAGCATGGACGGGGCTCACTGGAGGAGGCTGAAGCTGAGAAACTACTGCTGGTCTCCTGTATGTGCATTTCTAGATTTTTGGTTGAACAGTTTATTCTCTTTGTAGCTCAGAGTATTCACACTGTTCAAGCTTTATTGTATTTATTTAGTTTATATCTTTTGCATTCAACATTAAGTTGATCAAACTACAGCAAAGTATAAAAAAAAAAAGGTTTGGCAAACTCTCATGTTTATCAGTTTGTCTGATTTGGCTGCTCATTTCTCAGACTTTTTTTTTTTTTTTTTTTACAACAAACACTGATTAGATCCCACACGTGTCTCCATTTTTAAAGTTAGACTTACTGTTTGTTTGTTGAAACAATGCCAACAAAATTTTTCAGTGTTTCAAGTTACGTTTTTTTCTTCAACAATACAGAAATGATTGGTTTTAGTCTGCTAGTAGCGACATTTAGCAGCAGGTGAGTTTTCAGCACCCAAGCCCAAACAAATAGTTTATGTTGAAAATCTCAAAGTGATTTTAATGAACACATGTAGGTTTCTTTTAGAGAGGAGAAGACCTCTGCAGATGATTTAACTCTTTATAAATAAATTGAAATAACGTAAACATTTAAAGAGTGAATTAAACATTGCGTTGGGCAGGGACATTGCTATATAAACTATAATAATGGTCTTTAACCGTCCCTCATATAGCTGTATATGGTGGCTGATCTTATCCTCTGCTCGATGGTGATGAGCTCCTGGACATGGTTTTCTCACAATTTCCAATTTTTTGGCAACAGTGTGTTGTCTCGTAACTTTGTGTTAGCCGCTCAAAGCTGTCCTCAAAATCTCATCCCCCTCTCCTGTACTACCAGCTCCCACATGTATGCAGAAATATACTTATACTTAATAAGAATGTATACTACCTCTGCTGCCAGGTTATAGGCGGATCAACACAGTCTCCCTTTACCAACTTTGTTTCTTCTAAACACATCAGTAAGGCGGAATAAAGTCACTATGTTGTATTATAAATTCACCAGATTCCCCCCTTTAAAAGCGTGTGTAAAAGGGGTTTACAAAAAACCTAGCAACCAGTTGCCAGATCAATGGCCCAAGTTGAAGTGCTTTTAATGTTTATTTATCTGCAATTGACAAATCCAGCTCATTTGTCTTTGATGTTGTTGACAGATAAATATCTTCTTTTTCAGGTTAAGCTGGATAAATCAAAAGTCTCTCTGCCTTTTTTCCCTCTGTACTCACTCTAAATGTACCTGTGTGTTTCAGGTGAGAAGCGCTCTGCTTTACTGGTAGAAATGGCCAGA